TAATGTCCAATTAAATGAACTTGTGGCTGTGTCTCACTCACACAGTTCTGACTGGACAGAATTGATTCTCCTATTTAACTTTTAACAGTGCTTCGTTTTAGCACGTGTAATTGTTCTGGCCGGTCGCTTGTTGGGTGGTGGTGGGGAGGGTTGGCGTCATGGGCTCTCTGCCATCTTAGCAGAGTTCCCGGCTGTTAATTGAGGTTAATTTGAATGACTGCGAGCAGGGGCAGGAGGTTGAGAGTGGTCGTCGGAGACTGTACTTCACTTTTCACTTCACTTTCTTTTATTCATCAATCTGTCATATGTCAGAACACAGGAATACAGAGAAAGCTGGGAAGCTTGCTCCAGCTGGCTCCTTTCGAGCAATATATGCATTTAGGAAGAGTGGGGCTGTCTTTGTGTGTATTTGCAGCATAAGGCAAATTATCCTTCTATTGAAGAGGCACTTCTGCTACTGCAGTCAGTCGTAGCGATCAGGCACGATAATTAATTTGTCTGTGTAAAGCGAGAGAGAGAGAGAGAGAGAGAGAGAGAGAGAGAGAGAGAGAGAGTTGAGGTAATGAACTGTTTCCTTCCACTCAAGGTGCACCACCTTCAGATTCATGGACATCCATGTTGAGGATGACTAACACATGGCACTTTCAAGGTTTATCTTGCTTTTGCTGGAAGGTGGAAATGGTCCTTTTCGTGCATCACTACCCATCAGATCATCTGCTGCAGTACAAAAAAAGGGCATGTCTTTATCTAGAGGTGATAGTGCATCCTGTGTGTGTGATAGAAATGCAATTACTTGTTGGCGGGGAAAGCAAAGGCGCCCAAGGCTACACATAACCACTGTGTATTCAAATAGGACACAAATGTCCTGGTGATGCTTCCATCTGCACTTGACATGCATTCCATTGTTAGTGTGTTTTGCCATATACAGTATGAAGGGATATTGAGAAATTGTTATGTTTATAAATATTTTTAGTTCGATCAACTTAAAGAAGGCATAAAATAGACAATTGACTGATTGCTTATATGCAAAGAGTTAGGTCTCTGTGTCTGGAATTACATAACTTGGTTTCGTGTGTGGTGATTTGTCTCTTGGGGGCGGTCGGCCTGTCATTTGTTGTCTTGATTGTGTTCCAGCTCCAGCTGGAATGGAGGGCGTTTCCCTCCAGCAGGTGCACATGTGCCTCGTTTCCGTTTCCTCATCGAGCCTGACTTTGTATTTAAGGAACCCGACTTCCACTACACATTGTTGGATACTTGACCTTGCTTGCCCTTGTGCTTCAAGCGTGATTTTCTAGACCACTCAATACCATTCGTAGTCACTCTCGTTTTGTTCATTATTCCTTATTGTAAGTATTTTTGTTACTCTAGCACAGTATTGCTTTGTTTTTGTGTGATTGGACTTTTGGATATTTCATTTGAGTATTCTCGGTGTTCTATTGACCTTTGCCTTTTGGTTTCATGCTTAGGTTTTTTTTCTGGCACCTGGTGACCAGAGATTTCAGTTCGTACTTTGTGAGTGCGATTTTCTTTAAACACTTTTTTAATCGCACTTTGCAGGGATGAGATTTTTCCGCGTTTTGGTGGAATTCCACTTTTTTTCCAGTCAATATGGACCTATTTTATGTTGTTCCAAATCCATTAAAAAAATTCTGGGGGGGGTCCGGACTTGTCTTCAGCAGATTCGGGGCTCGTAATGTTTACAAGTAACGTTTGCAAGCATCCATTTTGAATCCCGTTTTTATCGCGCAGCGTTAGTTTGTCGTTACTTCCTATGCAGGCTAAAACCAATGTCTTACTTGTTGTGATTGGTCGCGATATCAGCAAATGCAAATCACAACCAATCCGTGTTCGCCTTCCGAAACCCCTTTCTCGCGAATGCCGAATGTTATCGAGACTCGCGACGAAGCTAAAGTGCGTTAGATAGATGCGGATCTGAAAAACACGTTTCGATGGGACTGGTTGGATAGAAAGCTGAGAGTGTCCCCAGTAGGAAACAGTAAAGAGGAACCATTGTGCTTGTGTCGGATTTCGTAAAAAAGCTCAATGTCGCCGGTAAAGCTCTGTGTACAGTGTGTGACGATGTCATTCTATACGGATCGAGAGGATGGAAAGCTTTACAGAGTCACGCAACCCGGTGAAACACCGAAAACAGACATTTCTACTGAAAAGTAACTACTCGATCTCAAGCGCTTTTCGACAGCCTGGAGCATGTGTAAAAACAAGAGGAGTTGGCTAAAAAGAGAGTG